ATGTAAGGTGTAAACAGGTGTAATATGTGCATGTGAAGATGTAAGATGCGTAGATGTTTATCTCGCCTCGCTTTTGTGACGAACCCTGCGCTCAAATGCTCTCGGCAAAATACTGCTCACCACATTCCGATCTCATAGGGTGCATAAGACATGGCAAAGCACGCCAAGATTGCATCCCCACCAACACCCACCGTCAAAATGAGTACTTCTTCGCAGCATCTCAATTGATCCGCTCTGCTATTGTTCCTCTACCCACCCCCAAGCGCCCTGCAGCACGGTCCCAGCACAAGGCAAACATCTCCAAACACCTACAAGAAAGAGACGCGGATGCCTGCCGCATTCTTCCCTCCCCGATTCCCGAAAGACTGCCAAGTCCAAAACGTGGTACAGACCCCGCAAAGTCAACGAAAAATCCTTGCCCTTCAAACCTTCAAACACCTGATTGACTGACCTAGTAAGGCCAAACGCAGCGCTCAAAATTCATTCCGGAAAACCGTTCAAAGCACCTCTTGATCTCTTCGATTTAGGTGTCACTTGAAGCCCTACGTTCCAAGCTTGAGTTGGAATTATTCTCCCTGATGCGTCCGCTTGCACATGCCTTCGCACGCTTTAACATGTTTCAATGCTTCAAGCACGTTGAGCCGACTTCGGTCGAAACTGTTTAGCTGCTTCCTTTAGCTTTAGTTTGTGGACTGCGTCGGGGGCCTCGAATCTTCCCAGAAGTTGCTTGCAATAGATCTGAGCTGCCTTCTGTGCCTCCAGCTTGATGTTTGGCCATGCGACGGTGTATGTGATGAACAAGTGGCTGAGGGCTCCGGAAACTTTGGAAGTTTTCAGGTGTGAATACTTCTGACAAAGAACCTGCTAAGCCACTTTCACACTTTATCAATATGAATGATGTCATCCTCCAGCCAACAACATCTGGTTGAACCATGTCCGCAAAGGGATGCTGTCAATAACGGCGCTGGACCCAAATTCCAATTTCCAGGAAATCCATTGAACGATCAACCCCACAAATTACATCCATGACTTCCTGTTGCGACCTGCAACAGCTTCTGCCCCTGAATTATCCACAGGGAGCGCATTGCAACACGCATCATGTAGACCGCGACCATTTCCTGTCCAAAGACGTGCGGCGAAGCAAAAATGCATGTACCAGGAGCAAGGAATGAAACAGTTCAAAAAACATAATGTGTAAACCATTGCCATTAGCATGTCCTGCTCAGTTTGGCTCTTGGGCATCTTCTCTTCCCATTCTTTGGTGAGCTGCAATGACCTTGGGTAGTTACAAGTTACAAACATCCAACTTGAAAGCGCTGAAACAAATACAGTATCCGGGAATCCCTCAGGAAAGCAGCGGCGAAAACCAGCGCTTGACAAGCAAACTGCGAAAAAGCAAGGCGCATCATTTTCATGAGGCCACCAGAAGTCCAGAAAACAAACGCATGACTAGAAGTGCCTAGTAGCAATGCTGTTGATGAACAATGTATATCGCGCAAGCCAACCACAGCAGCCAGGCAACGACAATTTGGTGAGTGCGGCCCTTTGCAAAATCAAACTTCTTTCTTGCAATTGGAGACCGTGCTTTGCCATCATGCTTTCCAATCCAGGCCTGTTATCTGCAGAGTGAAGCAACCCAGAGCGCATCCACGATTCGACGCCGCGAACGGCTCCAGTAGAGAATTGAGAGAACCAGAAAGAGAGAGAGAGAGAGAGACAGAGAGAGAGAGAGAGAGGGAGATACAGTAGAACGCGATAGAAAACAAGCGAAAGGAAAAAGACGAGCCAGCACAGGGGCAAGGAGCAAACAAAGCAGGGCAAATAACGGCAAATATTTGAGGCCAGGGCAAGACCGAAAGTTTGCCGGTTTGGGTGAGGGGGGGGAAGATTAGGCCAAGGAAATGGGAGAAAATAAGTGCAGGAAAAACGTTGCAAAAACATGCAAAAACTGTGTTCGCAAAACTGTTTTGGAAGAGTTGTTTTGAAGTGCGTCAAGAAGGTCTCTCTGCTGGTTCCCTGGGTCGTTTTCGAAATATGTCTGTCGAGGGTGGACGTCATCTGCGCCTCACAAAATGTTGACGGTTAAATACGTGAAGGGATTCCGCATGCCCACACTTTTTTTTTGTGGGTCGTGTCATTTCTTCAAAGCCTGTTGAAAACGTGTCTGGAAAAATGTTCGACCAACATGCTTATGACGTCGAGGGACCTTCATTCATTGGAAAATGGAAAGCAATTACAGTCAAACAACAAACTCATGCCTAAGTCATGCCCAAATCTTTAAACACCATGGAATCGTGTATGTATAAGAAGAATGTGTCCACACTTGGGAAAATCAAATGTTCGCAAAAATCCGTCTACAGTTGCATTCTACCGTTCATGTTTCTGGGGTTGAGAAATGCTTGCCGCTTCGGTCCGCTGACTCTTTTCGCTTTGCTGCTCTCAGGTAGATAGTCAGAGAAAGAGAGAGAAAGAGAGAGAAAGAGAGAGAAAGAGAGAAAGAGAGAGAAAGAGAGACATCAACCACCTTTCGGTCCATCAGTGGCTTCGCTCTGCCATCCGTGATTCACAACAACCAACCTCGTCCTTTAGGTTTCCTATTTTTGAAACCACGACGTGCCGAACGACGTCCAAACAACGTAGAAAACGACGTCAAAAAATAACAAGAAAGGCTCTCTGCCCACCCGCCTGCGGAACCACATAAGAAACTAAAACCGACACGAAGACACAACAATGACCCTTCTCACCTCCATCTCAAGCAACACGTTGAAGTGCCACAATGCCGCGTTGAGCACGCAGTGAAAAGTGAAAATGGCTGCCGCAGGAAATGCAAAATAACCCGAGACATTGAACACACTGGAAAGAACACGATAGCAACATCAACTAATCGCTACACTCACATCCAGTTTGACTCGGTATGGAAAAGCTTACTCTTGATGCTAAGCACAACCTAATCGCAAGGTTTATTAGCAAAAACTATTCCAAAGACCAAACCGAACAAAACATTGCAATTCCTATGCGTTTTACTAAAAAGGCATGACTTTTCAAATCAAGTGCTCCCCAGCTATTTACGATCATTTCCAAACTTTAGGCACGGCTTTGGCAGTCAACTGTACTATTTTGAAAAAGCAAACAAAAAACAAACCAAAAAAAACAAACCAAAAACACACACACACAAAAATCAATAAAAAACAATAAGCAAAACAAAAAACAAACAAAAAACAGTAAACAACGCACGGCTTGAAACTCAGAGAGACTTTGTGCTTCTCCCTAATCGCCGCAGCTTGTTGATACCACTTGCTCTCAAAGTCTACAGTCTGCTGCGTTGCCTGCTGCCAAACTGCGACCAAAATTCCCAAAATCCAACAAGGCTGCCTAGTTGAAGCTTCAAACAGTGCGCCTATTACCCTTGATGGGGGAAAGCAATCAGTCTAGGGGGCCCCAACGGCTCATGGTACCATCCTTTTTGTTTTTTTCCTGTTATTTTTAAAATTTGCTAGGGAAAAACCAAAAAAAAACAATCCCAAAAAAATCCCAAACAAAAGGTTACGACCAAAAAAAAGGAGGGTACCACTAGCCGTTGGGGCCCCCTGGGCTGATCCATCAAGGGTAATAGGCGCACTGTTTGAAGCTTTAACTAGGCAGCCTTGTTGGATTTTGGGAATTTTGGTCGCAGTTTGGCAGCAGGCAACGCAGCAGGCAACGCAGCAGACTGTAGACTTTGAGAGCAAGTGGTATCAACAAGCTGCGGCGATTAGGGAGAAGCACAAAGTCTCTCTGAGTTTCAAACCGTGGGTTGTTTACTGTTTTTTGTTTGTTTTTTGTTTTGTTTATTTATTTTGTTTGTGTTTTTGTTTTTTGGTTTCATTGTTTGTTTGTTTTTGTGTTTTTAATTATTTGCTGGTTTCCAGTAAAATGAAGCGTTTTGCGTCATAACAACATGCGTTTCAAAGGACTGACGCAAAAATGTCCATCAAGACTGCCTGCCAAGATTCCCGCGCAAAAGTACCCGTAGTGCAAGGAACCCCACACAGTCAAACATCCAAAGTTCTTTTTAAAGTAATTGTTTGATATGGCACTGTATTATACCTTTTCGCACCGTTTTTCCGAAAAAAAAAAGTAATGCCTGACAAAACAGGGCGGACAAATGTGGTTCAATGTTCTTGCACAGGATGTCCTTCAAGAAAGTCAACCGTAGCCTCCCACAAGAATGACATTGGGGTCTGCCATTCACTTGCGCCGAAATTTTCAAGATCACTTGCGCCGAAATTGTGGCCCTACCTTTTTTCAGATCACTTGCGCCGAAATGTCTGTGAAAACCTAGGAATTACCAGCTAATTACGTGCAAAGCAGTCCAAGAAACGATACTGTGGGCCACCTTACTATCTAATTGCCTTACCAATTATCAATACACCAATGGTTCTACCTTGCAAGCTTTTAGGTTTATATGTTGTTGCACTTTATGTAAGAAGAGACACGACACCTTGGTGCTGGATCTCGCCGGGTTTCTTTTTTCCCCTGCCCTGGTTTTTTTTTCCTGATCTGTTCTGTTTTCCGTCCCCTACATCTATCCTGCCACTGCCCTTCCATGCTGGATGCTATTTGCAGCATTTTGGAGCTGGAACCTTTCAGTTTGCATGTTATTTGCAGCATTTGGGAGCTGGAACCTTCCATGCTGCATGCTATTTGCAGCATTTTGGAGCTGGAACTTTCTATTTTGCATGCTATTTGCCGCATTTGGGCGCAGGAACCTTCCATTTATCATGCTATTTGCCGCATTTGCGCGCAGGAACCTTTCAGTTTGCGTGCTATTTGTAGAATTTGGGAGCTGGAACCTTCCATTTTGTTGTGTTTGTTGTTGTTACGTTTGTTGTTGTTATGTTTGTTGTTGTGCTGTCTGTTGTTGTAATGTTTGTTGTTGTTTCTTTGTTGTGTTTGTTGTTGCGATGTTTGTGTTGTTGTGATGTTTGTTGTTGCGACGGTTGTTGTTGTGATGGTTGTTGTTGTGACGTTTGTTGTTGTGATGCTTGTTGTTGTGATCGTTGTTGTTATTGTGTTTATTGTTGTTATGGTTGTTGTTGCTGTTGTTGTTGTTGTTGCTGTTGCTGTTGCTGTTGTTGTTGTTGTTCTTGTTGGATATGCGCAAATAAATAGCCACAAAAATGTATCTAAATAACTACCTGTACATATGTATATATACATACACATGTATGTAGAGTAGTGTATTTACAAGTGTGCAAGCTTTACATAGCGTACCTATTTTTTCCAGCAATTGTATCACCTCCTCTGTAAAGGTGGTGTTCGCACTACTGTCTGGTCACAATATGAAATCCGATCTTTTGGGTTGGTGGATTCAGTGTGCGGATCATGCTGCCAACAAAAGCTTGAGCATAAAAAATGTTTCAGATCCACCAGCCACTTCACATTTTGTGTTGCAGTCAAAACCTAACTGCAGGCTCATTCTTTGATGAGGAATGCATGTGGGTTTGGTCAGCCCTGCCACACACCTGCACTAATGGTACGGCACACATGCACGCGCACACCTGCTTTTCACATTGGCATATGGGTGTGCCTAAAAATGGGCGAGACCCCTAAAATGCGCGTTTGGATGGAACCGATATGAGGATTGACTCTAAGATTCAAGCATATCCTGGAACGTCTGTTTTCAGACAAACCCACAAATCTAAATAGCGGGCCCTTGCCGTGCCCTGTTGGCAGTGCACTTGACCGTCACCCGTCACGCTGCTTCAAAAGCGTACCATACCTTTGGACATGGCACAAAAGAAATCTGAGGTGGTTGGTGGTATGAAGCCATCCCGATATGCATCCCAATATATCCCAAAACCGGTCTATGATATACTCTTTCAAGCCACCAATTAAAGCATATTAAGACGATTTAAAACGTGACCGTCCCGATTTCAGTTAGGAAAACACAGTTTATTGCAAATGAGATTGTCATCCAAATTGTACCAACCAGTGAACTGAATGATGTTGGAGGCACATGGCGTGGGCAAAATTAATTGGCAGGAACAAGTAGCGACACTATCTGAACTGTGTAGTCTTAAAATTGGATACCCTCCAGTAAACTAACATAGCAATGGAAAATCACCATTTCTATTGGGTAAATCATTTAACCGCAGGGTAAGATGCCAAGGTGGGGTAGTTTCAACGCATGGAACACAAGGATCAAATATACCCTCACTATGGAAACTCACAATTTTTAATTGGAAAACTCACTAAAAATGTTCACGGTGGTGATTCATCCCTTTTATATACGGGTTATAATCCCCAGTCAACAGGGGTAATGTGGCAAACCCAATGCCATAAACCACAATAAACCATCCCGTTCAGCAAATAACCATTCACTTGGGGGTCATTTTCCATCATCCCATTCCTCACCATAATAACAATTGACCACAATAGGGAGATATCGGTATACAATTAACCACCATCAATTATATTTATTAGGGTGGATCCCATTACTGAAAATCATCATAAACCGTTGTCATGTTCATCCGTACATTTTCATAATAGGCTTCCTAAACCAGAATAAACCAACAATTGGATAGCACAACCATCATAAACATTTTTTTTGGAAATCACACTATATGAACATTAATAAACTCTAATAAACCATCATTGGGTATACCCAATAACCAAGTTGGACATGGCTGCATCTCCCTCGCCTTGTAGAAGTCTGCTCGAAGCCCATGGCAGCGCGGCCACAAGCAGTTGCTGTTAGGTCAAAAACCAATGGTCCCAGAGGTCATGGCCAACCAGCGAGGATATATTCATGTGAATCTTAGTGCAAGTTGAATCTTTACCATCATCTGAATGGCAAAGTCTTAGCAGCTCCTGAAAGGTCCTTGGCTCACAAGAGGGAACATGGATAGCGCTCCTTCGACCTAACCACTTGCCAGTTGAGTGATATCTACAACTCAAAATGTATTATATTTGATCACCAAACATGACGGATATTCACCAACAACGACGGGAGAAATGAAAAACTAAAACTATGGAATCACACAGTGTAAGGACCCCATAATCTCAAACATACACGGGGTTGTAGCCAATGAAAGTGGAACTCTTCTGACAAGTGGATTGATGAAGTTGGTGCTGTCTTGATGCAGTTCCATTGCGTAAACATGTGAGCATGTAAGATAGGATGGCGGACACGGCTACGGATCCAAAACCTGGCACCTTGGTCAACATGAAATTCGCTAATGCGTGGACTTTCGACCAAAATATGGTATAGTTCACCAGAATATCGGCTGTTCATGTTAGTAGTGTTTACCCCTGCATCCAGCAAAAGGGCTGTTGATCTTTCGCTGGGTGAACCCCACATTGGCTTGATCCTACAGTTGGCTGGCTACGATGCCTCATCGAAATGGCAGGCGCACAAGGGCAAAGAGAGGTGTTCATCATGACTATCGCCTATCAACCGCTTGGGAGAGTTCCAAAAGATCAAAAGAATCTTCAAACATACTTGGACTTTCATCCCACTTACTAGTAGCTTCGACACCTACAATATCCCCCTCTCTCTCTCTCTCTCCATCTATGCCAGCAAATGTAATGCATAAGTATAAATAGATATGGGTGTATAAAGCCAGTAACTAGTTACAACCTCGGTTCGGACAGAAACTCCTCGAAGAAAGATTGTTTGCTCGCTGGCTCGCTGGCTCCCTTGCTTGCTTGCTTGCTGGCTGGCTGGCTTGCTTGCTTGCTTGCTTGCTCGCTGGCTCCCTTCCTTGCTTGCTTGCTTGCTTGCTTACTTGCTTGCTTACTTGCTTGCTTGCTGCCTTGCTTGCTTGCTTGCTTGCTGGCTTGCTTCCTGGGCACACCAGTCTGCGAGAAACGTAGCCAGGAAAAAAATCCCCGGGAGAGGGGAAAAATCCCAGTAAAAATAGCGTACCCGACACCTTTAGCGGTTTATATGTTGTTACACTGTTACACTTAATGACTTAATGTAAGAAGAGCCTCGACACCTTTAGGCTTTATATGTTGTTGCGCTTAATGTAAGAAGAGCCACGACACCTTTAGGGTTTGTATGTTGTTGCACTTGATGTAAGAAAAACCACGGCCGCGGCACCTTTAGGGTTTATATGTTGTTGCACTTGATGTAAGAAGAGCCACGGCACCTTTAGGGTTTTATATGTTTTTATGTTGTTGGACTTCATGTGAGAAGAGGCACGTCACCTTTAGGGTTTGTATGTGGTTGCACTTGATGTAAGAAGAGCCACGGTACCTTTAGGGCTTTCATGTTGTTGCACTTGATGTTAGAAGAGCCACGACACCTTTAGGGTTTTTATGTTGTTGCACTTAAAATAAGAAGAGCCACGACACCTTTAGGGTTTGTATGTTGTTGCACTTAGTGTAAGAAGAGCCACGACACCTTTTAGGGTTTGTATGTTGTTGCACTTGATGTAAGAAGAACCCGGCACCTTTAGGGTTTATATGTTGTTGCACTTGATGTAAGAAGAGCCACGGCACCTTTAGGGTTTTATATGTTTTTATGTTGTTGGACTTCATGTAAGAAGAGGCACGTCACCTTTAGGGTTTGTATGTGGTTGCGCTTGATGTAAGAAGAGCCACGGTACCTTTAGGGTTTTCATGTTGTTGCACTTGATGTTAGAAGAGCCACGACACCTTTAGGGTTTGTATGTTGTTGCACTTAATGTATGAAGAGACACGAGACCTTCAGCGGTTTGTGTGTTGTTTCCCTTCATGTGAGAAGAGCCACGACACCTTTTCATCATAGTAAAATGCCGCCGAGCAGATGTGCACAAAGACCAAGACACATCCTTTGCGGGCGCCTGCACAGTCGACATGCACGCGCACAAGAGCCACTTCAAACGGAAATTTACAGGTAATATCATGTAATATCCATTAAAAACCCGCCGGGCACATGTGAACTAAGACCCGGACACAGAATTTGTGGGAGGCTGCGCACTCGACATGCACGCGCACAAGAGCACTTTATACGGAAATTTACAGGCGAAAAGCCTCCGAACAGGTGTCGACTAAGACCTCGAGACAGATGTTGTGGGAGCCTGCGCACTCGACATGCATGCACACAAGAGCCAATTTATACGGAAATTTACAGGTAAAATGCCGATTACAATAAAATGCGGGACAAGCGAAGCAAAAAAAACGGCACAAGCGACACAAAAAAAAGCGGCGCACGCGACGCAAACAAACGGCACAAGCGAACGCCTCACCGACATTGGTGAAGAAGTTCCTCGCTGTCAAGAATGCATTTCCTGCACCTTGTTGTTCTAAGACGTCGTGTGAAAACATTGAGAAAGCGTTCCTTTTTGCATGCTACCTCCAACAAATTGCTTTCGATTATTTCTTGCCGTAAGATGAAGCAGAAGGGGCAAACCAAATGGCCGAATTCCGCTATTTTGCCCGGCTATCTTGATAAAAATGTCACGATGAAAATTCGCCCGAAATATTATTGTACGACGGGTATTTCGGCATTCTAAAAAACAATATTTGCAATAACCATTTGAAGTACAGAAAAATGGGAGCCGCCTTTTTCCCTGTGCTTTTCGTATTCTTGCGAAAGTCCGTCCTATTTTTCATATTTTCCCAAATTTATCAATTGTCCCTGATTTCCAAAGGGGGCATCCAAAAAGCAACGGAATAGAATTGAATGGAAAAGCTGGCTTATTGCATTTCTTTTTGGGCTGCCAATGAAATGCCGGGATCCAAGGATAGAAGATGATAGAAGAGAAATAGAAGCAGGTGGTAGCTTGTCTGCTTGTCTCGGCCTGTTCCGGCTGAATTTTCATGCCCAGGCCCTATGATGCTTTACCAATCTGTACAGTATCACGCGTATCATGCAACTTTCGTGCAGCGAAGAAGCCACGCAGCTTTTGAAGCAAGCGCGCCAGCTCGTGGCGTAGTTGATTCCTCGCGCAAAAATCGCTGCACGGGTGACATGGGCATGCAAGAACAGCCAATGAAAGAATAGCTTATCAGCTATTGCAGCGTATAAAGAATGTCGGCCTCCATGGAAGAAAGCCGCTGCACCTGCATTGCTACAGATCCTTAGCCACTGCGCCCCAGCGCAAGCAGTGTTACGCCCTAGCCCCTCTCCAGATATATAATTTCCGAAACCGCTAAAACAGCCTTCAACAATTCAACTTCATATTTTGTGTCTCACCCTTTGGAAAGCAACCCTTCAGCACGTGAAAGCGACTGCAACTGCCGCTTGGCCGCCTGCCCGGCCGTGGGCATGTCCAGCTTCAGCCTCAGCGGACGTGGTGCAATTGGCTGTCCTGAACCACAGCTTCTAAAACGTAGTTGAAAACGGATCAACCTTTCTGATTTACATCTACGAAGTCTTATGAATTATGAATTAAGTTTCTAGCCTACAAGCCTATACTACTTTTTTCCGTGTCACCGGGGGGAACAAACAACAACATCAACAATGGCAGTGGCTGAGCAGCGCAGCAGTAAAACCAGTAGCTTCCTACCAAATGTATAAAACGAACACCAAGATACAAAGGAAGAAGTCGGATAGAACGCATCACCAGAAGCATGCAAATTTGCCGTGGCATGAAGCCAAGTTCCAACATCTTTCAAAATTTTCAAACGGATTGCGCAAAGGGAAGGCATACCAAACTTCCAACTCCGGTGTGATCAGGACCTACCTCTTTGAAATCCGTAGCGGGCAACACAAAAGCTGGTTTCCTATTGGGAAACACCTGTATAAAAAGTGATAAAAAGTGCAAAACCAGCCTTTCTATCGAGTTCATGACCACGTGGGGCCACAAGTTGGGAGCATTTTCCCTCAAACATCAGGCGCCTGGCTTCGGACATTGTCATGCTGTCCTTGCAAAGACATCTTACCCTGTCCACTTTCCCAAGGACCCACACGCTGGACATCTGTTTGAGCAGCTCTCTTCGCAAATGTGGCTCCTGATGCTCGCTGAGAAACATGTCATGTGCAGGTCTGCCGTGGGGTGCGAAAGTGACGTGAAACACCGTGAAACAATGCAGCTTCAAGACTGAACTAATCCGAACAACATGAGTACACATTTGTGAAACCCGAACAGCAAAAAAAACATGTGCCGATGAGCGCGCAAAAAATTCCAACCGCCCGGATAAAGGCGAACTTTTCCAAGAGGCCTAGAAAGGACGCCAAAGAATTTTGAGCCCGAGGCAGATGAATGCTGCCCCCAGTCGCGCCCTAAGTTGGGGAAACGGCGGCATAACTTGTGTGCGGAGCTGGGCACTGGGCGTTGCGCGCAAAACGGTTACCGCACACGTGCTGATGTGCATTATACAGCCTTACAAAATGGCACCCGTACTTGCCTTCCTGCGTATAGTCACAGTCATATGCCGTCATGTGGGCAGGCTGGGCATAAAACGATCAGACTATATAAGACTAAGTCGCTTGTTCCTTTCCCTGAAACGCAATGATTGGAACACATGCATGTGAAGCGTGAGAAAACCACTTCCCGTACGCCGGGGGTCGGCGAAGCGGTCAAACCCACATCGTCAGTGCGGATTCTGAGAATGGCGGAAAACAATCTTTGCCACGACAATTTGCGATTTGACAAAGTCAAGACATCTTGGGAGGATTTGGGAGGTGAATGCCGGCCTTCGAAGATGAAAGCTGCCGCTGCGCCGCAGCTGCCACAGAGCCTCAGCCATTGCGCGCAATGCAAGCAGCGTAAGACCCTGTAGCCCATTGTAGCCAGTCTCTAGAGATGGGGCCTTCATGAACGCGCGATATCAGAAGCATTTCGCATTTTTGAGCGGCTAAAAAATGAGAAGGCCGGTGAACCAGAAGCTTTCGGTGATCAACACAGGGAAAGCACGCCGAATAGTAAGAAATACTGAACTTCATGTGATCCCCGATCCCCGCCCGGGCAAATGTCCTGACATAGATTCTGACACTCTATCGTCTAACATCTTATCTGACATACTTTCTGGCATTCTGTCTGCATACAATGTGACATTCTATCATTCGATCTGGCATTCTTGCTCACGTTTTATCTGGCTTCCTACCTGACACATACTCTCGCATTCTACCTCGTACTCTATCTGACAGTTTTCCTGACATTTCATGTGTCATATTTGCTGACATTCCACCTGACATATTTTCTGACATCTCATCTGCTATCTGACATGCATGTAATTCTGGCATTCTACTTCTACCCGAGTTGGCATTCTGTCTGCTATTTTTTCTGGCTTCTTGATCCGGGTTCGGGTCCGACGCGCAGGCCCACATGAGCTGGCAAGCTTGCCGCATGCGTGCGTGCATTTGTCCGGGATGTCTTGCTAAAATTTAGAGGCCCTCACCTGGCAGGGGAGGAATTTGGTGAAGCAGCAAATCATCACAAAAAGTCGAAGTCAGATAGAAGCGGATGACAAGGAAATAGACATAGATATTGGCGGTGAAGGAAAAAGGTCACTGTTCTTGGGATACCCAATCTTTTAAGCAGCAATGGAAAAGATCATCTAAACGACAAGCGGGAGGAACAAACTAGATAACATAGAAAGCAGGGGTATAAGATACGCCGGGCGGAAAAGATTAGACAGCGTAGGCAAGCTTAATGTTCACCTACGATTAATAAACTCACCCTAAATAAAGTTAACCAAACCCCCAAACTAAACAATAAATGACCCCTAAATAAAGCTATTTTTTTTGGCCCTAAACCCAGATTTGCCCAGATGGGGCTGAAAAAATTGTCCATGCTTTATTTGAGGTGGCTTTCATGTACTAATTCATACTGCCAGCTCATTAGATCTTACCTTGATAGCTTTGAATTTTCAAAAATAATGAATGCTCTTTCTATTCAAATCCTTTTTATAAACCTATCCAAAATCAATCCCAAATCAATCCCAAATCAACTCATCAAGGGTACCCCCCATGAGGTGCCTTAGCACTAATTAGACCTTGACCCTGAATAAAGCTACTGAGCTTCCCCCTCCCGCTGACCAAGAACTGAATACTAAATCAATACTAAACCCATGACATGAATACTAAATCAATACTAAATCCATGAAATGTATACTAAATCAATACTAAACCCCTGACATGAATACTAAATCAATACTAAATCAATACTAAATCCATGAAATGAATACTATATCAATCAAAATCAATACTGAATCCATGAAATGAATACTAAATCAATACTAAATCCATGACATGAATACTAAATCAATACTAAACCCATGAAATGAATACTAAATCAATACTAAAACAATTGTTGGATTCCTATTTTTTTGGGAATTTGCATTTTTTATTGTCATTTTAAATTGTGGTAATTGAAAACCAATACATACAAACAAGTTTGATGGTGGCTTTAGGCTTTAAGTTTTTTTAGGGGCAAAGGGGGGGAGGGCCCACGTTTTTTAATCAGAGGCCAACATTACGTGGTAACTTCTAGAAAAGGCTAGACAGGTCAGATGAAATAGATAGCAGAGATGAGGTTAGGACAGATAGGCCAGGTAGGAGATAAGTTTCGATGTAGGATTTGTGGATATTTGTGGCCAAACCAAATACGCGAGATGCTTTCCCCTGGCCCTGGCACGTCCATATAGCGCATGGCCCTACTTTCACACTGGCACAAAATGACGGACTCATAGCCACAGAAAACGAAGCGGAAACGCGCAAAGTACAAAGCGCAGATGGGGCCGCGACGTCCGAGTGCGGGGAAATAACAGCACACTGCGCCACAGACGGAGCAGGAGCCACCCAAAATGCAGCAGAGATGCGCAGAGCCACACACATACAAGACGGGGCTGCAAGCGAGAGACGCAGAAAGCGCTGCCCCCGCCACATGCAAAGCGAAGCCAAAGCGCACAAAGCGCCGCATCTGCCACGCAAAAGCACACTTGAAACATACAATTGTTGCAATTGCCACACAAAAGGTGCAGAGGGAGGGCATCTGAGCGCGCAAAAGTCCCTTCCCCCTATGACTAAACGTCCCCCAAATACTAAAAACTAGGGTCCATCTCTAATTTCGGAAAATTTCAGATTGGCCAATTTGACTTTTAATTGGGCCCCTTTAGAAAACAAGTAAAAAACAAGATGAAGCCCACGAACCCGAATGCTCACACGTATATGGAAGGTAACGAAGTTAAAGTATCTATTACGCAGAGAAGATCAAAATGTTAATGCGCACACCTATTGTAGAACAGTGGAACAGCGTCATTGCTCCGATTCTGTTTTCTCTCCGCGACAGCATCACTAGCGTCGCAACGCAGCGGCGCGCGGCAATCATAGCCTTCCAAGACATGCAAGCGAGGCGATGCGAATATATCACGCATGAAACATCTTTTTAAATATATTGACATGTTGAGAGACAACAAGATAAAATGTAAGGATCAGCAAACCAGAAAGTATCGGGGACATGTTGAAACATTCAAGTTTGTCGGGGACATGTTCGGCCACGAACTGCTCTAGCTCAGCGCGGGCAATCTCCGCTTTCTCGGCATCCGATTTCTTCTTCGGCGGGAAGAGAGGACAATAATACGCCAGCAAACACAGTAAGAACCACACGGGACACCGCCGCAACGTAGTCCAACCAACATGCGAAAATATTCAACCGAAAATGATATTCTCCAGCAACATGAACGTGTAGCTTCGACACATCCAAACACTCTCTGCGCGCAATCCCAACATTCGCGCAAAAACAAGTACCAGACCATATAACACTTCAGGAGCATAGAGGCAAAACAAACGATGCAACAAACACAGCAAGATCATCCCACCGTAGTCTCGTACTTGCACGTTGTAATCACATGGGCATGTATGTCTTGAAAACTATGACACGACTCAAAATGAAAGCAAAGATAGCTTGCATAGACTGTCTCCGCACAGCATGCACACCCCGAAATTCCAAGCAATCGAATCAACACACGCAACCATCGCGGTCTTACATGAAGCCAAGGCACCGCAATGTCGACAGGGTTTTCGATTCCCACACAGCAGTAGGGCACACGTTGCACAAACTCTAGTAGCAACGCCTCTTGCCGCAACAAACCATGCACATGCCTCAGCGACACACAGCGCAGGAAGCTCGGCAGCAGCACAGCAGCAAGGACACCAAGTAGCGTAGTCAGCGGCAGCAGCATCGCCAAGCAGCAGCCGCAAGCCGCGACAAGCCAGAGCGCCGCGGCAGCAACATACCGGGTGGCGCGCCCTCGCAAGCAGTTCTGCCGCGCAAGCTTACGCCATTGCAGCGCAGGCCGGCAACCCGCCATCTTCAAAAAGAAACAGACACAGACACACTCGTCCTTCATTCACATGACCACAAACAACCAGAGCTCTACTATGCTGCAAATGCCATGCTTCAGGTTCTGCTTACACTTGAAACACCACCCCTATGAACAGCATTGAAAACAAACATCCACACAGCCCACATGCTTGAATCCATGTCTGCCGATGCCATGCTTCAAGTTCTGCTGACACTTGAAACACCACCCCTATGAACAGCATTGAAAACAAACATCCACACAACGCACATGCTTGAATCGATGTCTGTCGATGACTGCGAGGGCAATGTGTTGCCGCCGAGCCCAGCAATCTAATAAACATGTCTGCAACCTACATAAATGCTGCAAATGCCATGCTTCAAGTTCTGTTGACACTTGAAACACCACCCCTATGAACAGCATTGAAAACAAACATCCACACAGCCCACATGCTTGAATCGATGTCTGCCGACTGCGAGGACACTGTGTCGCAGCCGAGCCCAGCAATCTAATAAACATGACTGCAACCTGCATAACACTGGAAACGGCTTCAATCGAGCGATTCAGACATCTGCATCTGTTCTGTCACGAACTGTGTATGTTGATCAAAATCTTGAAGCCGAGCACAGCCGAAATCTGACGAAGCAAATTCAATGAAACATGACAACCCGCACCACAATAACAACTCAGAAACATCAGTCAAGAGGCAAGATTCCACTACCCAAGTGTGCAACATTTCGTACGAGACTTCCTCCAATTTTGACATTTTCGACACGTTATCAAACAGCTTGGAATGTCACAAAGTGACACGCCTGCCACGCAAAAGGACATGACAACCTGCTTGGACACATTCGAATAGGAGAGGTTCTCCAGCTTCCCTCATAGACACGGCGACGCCACAGGAAAATTAGAGACTCGAGACGAGACGCGTGGGAGCACCAAAACAAGCATTTCGTACGAGACCTCCGGCAATTTTCACAGTTGGCAACATGACAAAAGGGCAAGTTTTCCAGCTTCCCTCAGAGACACGGCGACGCCACAGGAAAATTAGAGACTCGAGACGAGACGCGTGGGAGCACCAAAACGAGCATTTCGTACGAGACCTCCGGCAATTTTCACAGTTGGCAACATGACAAAAGGGCAAGTTTTGCAGCTTCCCCCCATAGACACGGCGAGGCCACAGGAAAACCAGAGACTCGAGACGACAGGTGGGAGCACCAAAACGAGCATTTCGTGCGAGACTTCCTCCAATTTTCACACTTTGTAGCTTCAAAATCGACAATTCCCTACGAGTTTTCCCAGGAACCTCTAATATTTTGCTACCTCAAAATCGATGTTTCGTGCGAAGCTTCCGTCAATTTTCAGCACAAGTCACAAAATGCCACGCCTGCCACGGAATTTGCACCTTGTCGCCATTTAACGCAGCCCTGCCAATGCGATTTGCAAAAAACACGCAACACGACACGTCTAAAGTGCTGCGCCTGCCACGAAAAATGACGATGGACACGTCCAAAGTGCTGCGCCTGCCACGAAAACTGCAACACATCTTCTGAAAACGTCGCAAAAGTATTGCGCCCGCCACACAACACGACTTTCGACACGTTACAGAACATGTCTGAATGTCACGAAGTGCCACGCCTGCCACGCGAAACGAAGCAACGAGACGTCTGAAACCTCCAAAAATGACCACCGCTGCAGAACTTACCATAGGCACGGCCATAAAGCAATCGTGCGAACGGTTGCGAACGGTTGCGAACGGTTGCGAACGGTCGCGGACGGTTGCGGACGGTTGCGACCGTGAACGCAACGTCGCATTCGGGAATAAAGCTACCATTTGTGGGTTTTGCCTCCTAAAAATAAAAACTAGTTCACCCCGGGGATCACCCCTACCTTCGCTACCCCCCCTTAAAATAATACAACATAAATATTTCAACGGGGCTTGACCCTTATTCGATTCATCGACTTAAGCTATGAACACCTGGAAATAATTTCCATTAACACCCCCCCCTTCAAAATGTCTTTCCCCAGGGGTTCCCTAGAATGATATTATTTCAAAATTATTTTGACCCCCTTTCACATAATTATTTTGCAGGGGTGCCACATGTCAAGCTTCAACGACAAGTGTTCTCCACCCCCCCTTCCACTCCAACCCAACGTTTAAAACATGTTTTGAAATATGAGGGATGCCTTCAGAGAATGCCCCATCAATATGCATCAGAAATCTCAGAATAACAGAAGGATACCCCTATCAAAAAATCTAGCGACAAAAAGGAATGCGTAGCATTGCGTAGCCTACCGAAACAGAATTGAAGAAATCACAAAGCACAGTATCAGGAAATCCTGCACAATGTTGGCTTTGCAAAGGTGTTTTACCATTCTTTTAGGTATGTGTCTTGTTGTTTTTTTGGATCGATGCGTTGCAAATTCGGAAGCGCAAATAAATTCAAACTTCATGTTTCATGTGTGCTTCCTCCTAGTCATCCCAGAATCTCCCTTCAGTTTAAATTGAGCGGCGTCGAAAACCGGGTAGCGATTTGGTTCTAATCCTTAGAAGCTTTCGCGACGGCTTTCGCGGTTCTTTCGCGGGCACAGTTTTGTCTTTCGCGGCGACATGTGTTTCGTAATATCTTTCGCGGTTGCTTTCGCGGAAAATTGCCCGTAAATGATGGTGCACATGAATATTCAAATGTGCTTCTACTACCTACCTGCTTTCGCCACTGCTTTCGCGGCTCGACCTTGACGCACCCCTTTCGCGGAGCTTTCGCGCGTGGAGGTTTTGCTTTCGTGGGGGGTTCCCCACATGAACCCGAATACTAAATCCCTTCATGGACGTTTTTGATACTGCTCAATTGCACCAAGAACGCATCAAAGTTTGCAACCCGCAACCAGAAAACGTTCTTTGAGAAATTATTTTAGGGGTATTGGAGATGCCCCGCGCTCCTCAAAAATCAAGGTGGGCAGCTGCCAGGACCATCCAACTTGCCCAGAAGCTGGAAACAAACTCAAAAACATATAAAGACCGAATGCTTACCATCGTTGGGCAAATGAAAGGAATATGGGCGACATATGGCGAAATAAGGGAAAATATGAAAGGTTCGGAAAACCACTACAGGAAAGAGTCAGGTTGAATACTATTTCGTGGGATTTCTCAAGGGGATAAATTATGTTGGGGGTATTGGAGATGCCCTGCACTTCTCAAAAAACAGCTGCCAGAACGACCCAACTCGCCCAGAGGCTGGGCAAAAACTCAAAAACCTTTAAAACCGAATGCTTGCCCTTTCCCACTCATTCCCACCGTTTTTTTTCGACAAGACATGAAAGGAATATGGGAGAAATAGGGAGAAGTATGAACCAATTGGAAATATGTAAGAAAAATTCAATGCTGAAGATAATTATTGAACACCATTTTGCGGGAATTCCCAAGGGGAGAAGGTCTTATAGGTGTTTTCTTCTGACCACTTGAAGTTTATATATACGAAATTATTTCAAAACTATATTGACGGGTTAGATTATGACTCGCATATTCCAACATGCACATCCGTAGACCCACCCCTTAGGAAAATTATTCAACAAAATTTATTCTTATTCCAGAACCTGGTTGATATCCCCGTGTATTTTTTAAAGGGATGGAATATCCCGAAAAATTATTTCAAAATAATTTCAACCGACACGCTCAAAATTATTTCACCGGGGTCTGACCCCGTTGAAATAATTTCCGGTGAAAAATTATTTTGGTGCAAGCTTGACCCTATCTTGAACCTCTTGGAAATCGCTAAATATCCAAAATTATTTTGGTAAAATTATTTTGGTACGTAACCCCCCCCTGAAATAATATTGCTAAGGTAGCAGTGATCCCCGGGGTGTTTATTATTAGGGTCCGTCCGATTTTTTTTAGTTTTTAAGACTTTTAATTTCTTATTAGGGCTCGCTTCGAAAACCAATTTTTGGCAAACATAAATTGTGTTATATAAGGACATTTAATTGATTTTGAAATCGAACAAACTATTTTTTTATTATTAAGGGTTTAAATTTATTAATAGGGTCCGCTTGGAAATCCAATTTTTGGCAATATTTTAATTGCGTTATATAAGGAATTTTTATTGATTTTGAAATCGGGAAGAATAGTTATTATTATTAAGGGTTTAAATTTATTAATAGGGTCCGCTTGGAAATCCAATTTTTGGCAATATTTTAATTGCGTTATATAAGGAATTGTAATTGATTTTGAGATCGGAAAAACAAGTTTTTATTAAGGGTTTAATTCTTTTAATAGGGTCCGCTTGGAAATCCAATTTTTGGCAATATTTTAATTGCGTTATATTTTATTGATTTTGAAATCGGAAAGAATAGTGTTTATAATTAAGGGTTTAAATTCATTAATAGGGTCCGCTTCGAAATCCAATTTTTGGCAATATTTTAATTGCGTTATATAAGGAGATATTATTGATTTTGAAATCGGAAAAAATAGTTTTTATTATTAAGGGTTTAAATTTATTAATAGAGTCCGCTTGGACATCCAATTTTTGGCAATATTTTAATTGCGTTATATAAGGAATTTTAATTGATTTTGAGATCGGAAAAACAAGTTTTTATTATTAAGGGTTTAATTCTATTAATAGGGTTCTCTAATAATAAATACCCCCCTAATACTATAACTACCTGAGGTGTTTATTATTTGGGGGGGGTTTAGTATTAGGAGGAAGGGATTAACAGCAAGCCGATCTAGAAACGCACAAAGCGCCGCACCTGGCACACAAAGCGCCGATCAGCCGACAAGCAAAATCTAGCAAGAAATTTCCCAGCACTGTGCGGGCGCGATTGAAACTGCATATAAAACTATCATAGACCTGAAAGTTGAGATAGGTTTGGTAGAGGTAATGAGCTGAATAGAGGGTAGGTGCGATAGAGAAGTCAGTAAGGCGAGGGGATCACTTTGCACGCTAAACGGCTCACTTTGCACAGCGCAAATGGAGGGCTCGCTTTGCAAACCATAAACAATGTACAAGCAGTGAGCACCGACCATGTTTAAAACCTTCTAAGTTTAAAATTAGGGGCGGGAATGGGATGGGTGGTGAAAGTGGCTGGTGGGGGGGTGGAGAAGAGGTGGTGGCGGTGAGGGAAAGGGTGGGGTGCGGAAGAAGACGAAGGTGGCGAAGCTAGAGAAAAGCCAAGGTGCGGAAGAGGTGGGGAAGACAGGGAAGGGCAGTCAAGAAGGCAACCGGTACAATTTTCAAATTATTATTAAGGGCGTTGAAAAATTCAAGACCTGCTAAGGCACCTGTCCAAGCTGCAAGCATTAATTTCTACTAGCGCTGCGCTACACTCTCTATCTCCCTCTCGCTTTGTGCCCCATGCCAAAATGACCTCAAAGAAAAACAAGAAAACACCACCCAAAAAATCAAAAAAGAGGGGGGAAGGGAGAAGGCGGAAGGTGGGGCGGCAATGCTACACAAATGCCTCTGTAATATCCTATGTATCTTCTAGATACGCAAAAAACACCACGCGCAGCATAGCTGCTATCTTAGAGCTGAACCGGCACACAAACCAAGCCAAACGGCAGCGCGCGAAGCGAGCCAATCAGGTGCGCGAAAGGCGAGGTGCTGCCAGTCAAAGGCAGGTTGGACGAAGATAAGTTGATAGAGATTGGTTGAAAGGTTTCATAGTAAAGAACCTGATGAACAAAAACACAAGTTCAAAGAAATAACTTGAACAGAGATACGTTGAGACAGAGAAGTCGATAGAGGCCAGTTGGGAGAGGTAAGTTGATGCAGGATCAACTTAAGCGGTCGGAAGAGAAGGCCAGGGTTCAGCGCAAAAGCAAAGACATCATTGTGGGGAAAAGTGTCTGGTATTGCGTCTCAACGCAACTCTGGAGCAACTACGGCTCAGCCACCTGCCTTGCCGGCTGTAAGCATGTCCACCTTCAGCCTCCAGTGGATGTGCTGCACTTGGCTGTCGTTAGTCACAGCTACCTTTTGACCGTGGTTGAAAACGAAACAATCTTTCCAATGTCACTCTACTAGCCGAGTTTTTTTCAGCCACCTGTTCCGAACGGTGCAGCAGTAGAACCAGTAACTTCTGACCAAGCTGAACGAACATCAAGTTTACAAAGAAACTCAACTGTACAAAAAAACTGAATGGAATAGCGCCCGGCGCACAACACACACACACAGAATGTAGGACAACGTGAGGATGCTATGGGGCCACCCAAGAAATTGAACACGCAAATGATCACAGCTGTTAATGCCAGAAGGTCACATTTTTTTAGGTATTTTGGACCGGTGGAAAGCTCCCTGCTGCCCGGGATTTGGGATTCTCTGAAACCTCTGCGATGGTCCCAATGCGCTCAATGTCTTCCATGACTTCAGCATCGGCAACAATCTGCTGGAGTGTCTCGGTGTCAACTCCTGCGTTGAAGCTCCCCGGCAGAACTTCATCAAAATTGCCCTTGCATGTTCTGCACGTCACGCCACAAAAAAAACAAACAAACAAAATGAAACGCGTATCAAACAATCATCTTCCAAACTCCGGTAGACATGTTTGCCCACAGGTTGTTTTCCCCACTGCTTTTGCATCTTAGGACTGATTAAGTCGGAACCTATCTGCCTCACGTGCTAAACGCGTTACCGCATAAACGCGATTACATGGGCAAACGTAGCTGATCAATAGGTTGGATAAGGAGCACCTGGTGTTTTTTGCATCTGTGTTTGATTGGATGCCGGCACGGCCCATCTGCGAGGCTGTCGGATACACAGCAAAACTTTGCAATTTTTTTGTTTGTTTCTGAGCCGAAGCTTGCAATCACCACATGCTCTTGCGCCTTTTTCGCTGTTGGCATTTTCATAGATCTGCTACTTACTTTGTCGGATCCCGTGCTAAAAATGGACGGCTGTATACCCAGGAGGGAAGAGATCAAAGGAGGGTGGAAAAGAAGACATGATGATGACGCAAACTTGTTGAAGACAAGCTGTTTGCCATTCAGAGGGTCGCCGCCATTTCAATGCATTTAAATATGTTGTCTGTTCAAACAACTGCCTAGGTAAGCCTCATGTAGAACATCTTCTGATGCTGCCGGCTCGACATTCTAAGGACATGAAACCAGACGCGCGTGACAACCACCCCAAAAACGCAGCTTGACTGCAGCTCAAAGAACCCAGAAACTCCTAGCTAATATGTGTAGATATTCGCCTGCGGATGGCAGAAGTGAGGCATGAAAGGTGGATTTCCAAGTAGTAATTGATGAAACTTTCGGTGTGGGTTGCTGCCATTTGCTGCCACTGCGCTTAGGCTTCTTGAAACCATGGGCCAAAGCCGCAGCCCTGAATCCTGGCAATGCTCCCGCATTGTGGGTGAACCGGGTGCCTTCAATGCGTTCGATCTCGTCCTTTTCAAGGCCCTCATCGCCAGGGGAACCAGCATCCTGTCAGCCAGTTCACTTTCCCATATTTTTCAGTGCCTTTTTGTGAACCGCTATAAAACATCGGCTAAGCACATAAATCAGCATAAATCAAATTTGCGTTGGTAATGAGCATGGCAAGAGCAGGCGGCATGCATGAAACTCTAATTTAGAAGTTTCAAACACAAAAAACTTACCTAATCGGGTTTGGAACGGGCGGGCTCGAAGCTGCACAAGTGCAGAGAAATGCTCCACCGCCTACTTTCCTCTCTATTTGGCTGACTGCCTGTCCTTTCCTGAAGAAAAAACAAAGTGATAAGAAAAGAGCTGCGGCATGCGCGAGAGACCCCGGCGGAGCAACACATAATATGGATTCACATAATGCTAGGAACGAAAAAATGGGCCGTCTATTCTTGGTTCCTTCCCCTCAAAGCACGTCCTGAATCTCAACTGCCGCTACTTGATGAGACATGAGGAGTAAGAACATGTTCTACGGTATGCACCACATAACACTAGGAGCAAGCAGCGGGGATGTCTTGAGGTGATGGTAATAGACAGCAAAATCTCTGCACAAACAATGACGCCACAAATTTGGAAAGGACAAACCACAGCACTTCAAATTTCAGCTTGCCTTTTCTCTTGTGCCCGTGAAAGTCCGCGTCCTTGGATGCTCAAACTACCCCAGATAGATGGGCGAGGGATCAAACAAAAATATTGAAGGCATCAAAACAAAATATTCCCGTGGGGATCAAAAAATATTTAAGGCATCAAAAAAATATTCCCCTGGAACCCCTTGTTTTCAATGGCCCTTGCAACAGTTTGGAGACAAAACCAAGCATGTCTGTGGTATTTGCATCGTTTCGAAACTGGAGCCTCTCGCCCGTAAGGTTTTTGGAAATCGCGCATTCGTATGTTTTGTCAACAATTGGAGCTCGACGTTGCCGTTTCGACAGCACCTGCAACAATTTGGAGTTCGAACCTCTCATTTTCGATGGTTGTTTTGCAACTTATGTTGGTTTAAAATTTGCTTATGGTTGGTTTAGGCTTGATTGATGCTTGGTTTGGGGTCTATTTAAAATTGTTTTAGAATTTAATTACGGTTGGCTTAAAACTATTTAGGGTTGGTTTAGGGTTAGTTTAGGGTTGGCCTATAATCTACTGGGTGTTTATTTAGGGTTGGTCAAAGGTTTATTTAGGTTTCGTTCAAGTCTTATCTAAACTTGGTTTCGTGTTTGTTTGCGGTTTATTTAAAGTTCTTTTGGGGTTTATGTTGGGTTGGTTTGGGGTTTATTGTGGTTTCGTTTAAGACTTTGTGGTTTAGGTCTCGTTTAGGATCTATTGAAGGTTGGTCTTTGGTTTATTTAAGGTTGGTTTAGAGTTTGTTTAGGGTTTGCTTAGGGTATAATTATTTAGGGTTGGCTTGCGGGGTGTTTTACGGTTATGTAGGGCTTATTTTGGGTTGGTTTTAGGGTTTGTTTACGATTTATGTAGGTGCTGCTCAAAGTTTATTTGGGATGGTTTGGGTTTAGTTTAGGGTTGATTGAGGGTTTGTTTAAGACTTACTTGGGGTTGGTTTAGTGGCTATTTAGGGTTGTTGTTTTTTTAACGGTTGTGTTTTAAGGCACTAGAGTCACCGAAGGACGGAAGGACCAAGGGACCAGGGGATTGGAGGACCGGGAGATTTGGGCCAAAACACTGCACCGCGGGAAAAAGTAATATCGTTTTTTATCCCTTCATTTTTTTTGGTAATTGATGCCTTGAATATTCATTTTTAGATGCCTTAAATTGCCTTAAATATTTGTTTAAAACCCCATGCCCAGAAAGATGTTCCAAAATCACCAATCCCCGAAATTTGCAGTGGCAACAGAACATAATCGGCATTTTTTTAATGCGGGGGCACCGTGTGCAAACACACACACACACGATAAATAAACAAATCTATCTCTATCTCTATCTCTATCCCTCTATCTCTCTATCTCTCTATCTCCCTATCCCTCTACCCCTCTATCTCTCTATCTCTCTCTCTCTCTCTCTCTATCTCTCTCTCTCTCTCTCTCTCTCCCTCTCTCTCTCCCTCTCTCTCTCCATCCATCCATCCATCCATCCATCTATCTATCTCTTTTCTCTATCTATATTCTATCATGATAAATATACACACGCACACGCATAGATCGATACTGTAAATAGATAAATAGATAGATAGCTAGCTAGGTAGATAGATAGATAGATAGATAGATATATATATATATATGTATATACACATGTAAATATGTAAATATTGTATATATATATATAATATGTACGTGTGTGTCTGTAAGTATGTATACATGCGCAATAAACATGCACACACACTCACACACATATATATAGAGTGTGTTTTTCAGTGTGCGATTGTGCATGTATTAAAATAATGCCTGCAAACTTATATATGTATAAAAACATCTGTATATGTAAATGCAAAAGCCGATATCACATACCTACCTGTATTGCATACATACCTTTGTAACATACTTCTAGAACTTTGAACATTTATTATTTTTTGCGGGGTGCACACCCAAAAGCAAAATAGACACTCAGCAATCAAGTAAAGAGATGCGAACCAAAAAAAAAACGTATGAAAAATACTCGGGACCACAGGAACATATACCCTGCGTATGAATACAAACATGGAGTCACATGAGTCATATTTATATATATACACATACAATAAGCACATGTGTCTATATAGAATGAATGCAAACATGTCATACATTACATACATGAAAATATGGATATGTACAATTTACATTTCTTACAGGCGGGCTTTTTGGCAGGAGCAGACATTGGTAAGAGCAAACAAATTCGCAAAAAACGCCTCGCGGGCTGCGGCATGCCCCTACAACAATATTACATACCCCACATCTGGAACAGGGGCGTCTTTCCATGCATTTTTGGCTTGGGCCATGTCATGAATTCTTCTTTCTCGCAGGAAAAAGTATTCTGCAAACATGCCCTTCTTGTCAACTGTTAAAGCTGGTGACCGGGGCACCCAAAAGTCCCAGCGGCGGCGAGGGGCTGGAACCCGTGAGCACCATAACAAACCATGCATCTTCTGATGTGTTTGCGTTCCCAAAATCATTTTCTTCAAGCTACAGCTTATGATTTTGGTTTGGGTTTGTTGACGGGAAAGGAGTCGGAGAATCAACATGTCAAATCTCCACCTCCCCGATTTTCCAGAAACAAATGCTCTTAGACAGATCCGTCGTGTTTTTGATTAAATTGGGTGCTGAAAAAAAACAACAACGCAAACAAATCGCAAAAGGTCAAAATCGAGCAGCCCGAGCAAACCCATGAATATCATCCCAACGCACATAGTCATTTGGTTTCTACGTAAAGGTTCTCTTTGCATCTCTTAGGATCTATCAAAATGGAGCAAGGCAAGTTGATCAAAAGGATCCGACAGGCCCATGCAAGAATGAGCCAACGCATATCTTGATGAGCTGCCAGCGGGTAGCGAGGGTAGAAAGACATGACAGCTGGTCTTGACTGTCTTGATGCATTGCTTACAGGTCACACCACACCCTGTTATTAACACGCAGTAGCAATCTGAATCACATATACCGCCCCCTTTCAGTGCAGGAAAGAAACCGCGAAACTTGTGAAGCAGACGTGCCAGCGCGTGGGGTAGGCGACTCCTTGCACACACACCAATGCAAAAATGACACATGAACCAGTGGAACAACTAACCAATTTACAGAACAACCCCGGCAGTTGCCACAGTGTCTGAAGATGTCTTGCGAAATTGGCGCTGGCCTCGAAGAAAGATGGCTGCCGCAGCTGCAGTGTTGCAGCTGATACAGAGCCTCAGAAATTGCACAATACCCCCCACCCATCCGAAGGTGTTGCCTGCAGAGACTGGGACTTATGAATGGGCCAACCCACAAGAACTATAATTTTTTGGGTCGCAACAAATCAGCCGTGCCGAAGCTCCATAGGTTTCGTCCTTTTGTGTGCCTTCAATTCTGTTTGAGGAAGAGCCCCCTTTGGAACCCAGCCCTTCAGACCGTGAAAGCAACTACGGGTTCAGCCACCTGCCTTCACGGCTGTGGGCACGTCCGGCTTCAACCTCTAGCGGCTGTGATCCGTTAAGTTGTGAGGTATATCTTTTTTGCGCGGTGAAGATCACAAACGCCAACCAGAAAAACTAAGGTATTATCCGGTATTATCCCGGCAAAAGGCCCCAAACAATGTGTAGTTATGATTCGAAAGGAAAGGTGGGAAGGACCTAAAATCATCATTGGCTGCAAGCTAGCAGGACAAGAGCGACCCTAGTAGTGAAAAGAAGAGATACCAGGTCACATTCTGCAAGCTCCCTTTGTGAAGATCTCTGTAAAAGATCGTGCGCAAAATCTCCTTGAGAGGTTCGCTGTAGAAGCTGCTGTGCAAGATCCCTGAAAGCCTATCTGTACAAGGTGTCTAAAGGAGATCTCCACAGAAGATCTTTGTAAGGGATCTCGAAGTAAGATCTCTGTTCAAGCCCTCAAGCTATCTATAAACGATCTCCGAGCAAGACCTCTGCTCTCTTCACCAGGTCTCTGTACAAGATCTCCATAAGAGGTCTCCTGGCAAGATCTGTGTAGCAGATCTCTTTAAGAGCTCTCTTGGCACGGCCTCTGCCTCTGGACAAGATACCTATAAGAGATCTCTCGGCAAGATCTCTGCAACAGATCTCTATGCAATGTCTCTGTACAAAGTCTCCAGAAGAGGTGTCCTGGCAAGATCTCTGTACAAGATCTCTGTAAGAGGTCTCTTGGCAAGATCTCTGTAAGGGGCCTCTTGGCAAGATTCCAACTGATCTCTATGCAATGTCTCTGTCGAAGATCTCCCCAAAAGAGGTGTCCTGGCAAGATCTCCGTACAAGATCTCTAGAAGAGGTGTCTTGGCAAGACTGTTGAAGAGATCTTTCTATAAGAGATCTCCGCAGAAGATCGTTGTGAAGGATGTCAAGGTAAGATCTCTGTTCAAGCTGGCTACAAAAGATCTCTGAGCAACATGGCTGCTCTCTTCACCAAGTCTCTGTACAAGGTCTCTATAAGAGGTCTCCTGGCAAGATCTCTGTACAAGCTCCCTATAGGAGGTCTCTTGACAAGATTTCTGTATGAGATGTCTCGTTTTGTGCGAGCTGGCGCAGCCGACATGCACATGGACATTTCGCAAGAGCCATTTTGTGAAAATTTACAGGAAACACGCCGGACACCCCGGCCGCGGCCATGTTTTGTGCGCGCCTGCGCAGTCGAAGAGCCATTTTGTGCAGAAATTTGAGTGAAAATGCCGTATGCCCCGGCCGCCGCCCCCGCTTCGTGCGAACCGGCGCAGTCGAAATGCACATGGACATTTCACAGCAGACATTTTGTGGAAATTTACAAGGAAAATGGCGTACGCTTCGACCGCAACACCCGTTTTGTGCGAGCCTGTGCAATCGAAATTTACATGGACATTTCGCAAGAGCCATTGTGTGCGGAAATGTGCAGGGAAAATGCCGGACGCTACGGATACCACCTCGAATGAACACTGGGCCTTAACACTTACCGTGAGAACCCCTCAGTGCGGCCACACTGTTTGGGGAAAGAAAGGAAAACAACTCTTGGAACGCGGTCCGTTGACACCTGAAAATTAAAACATGTTTTCCAATTAGACCGGTAAAACAAAATCGTTTGCTGAAACCAAGCAGAAAAACAATCAAGATCAACCGATGGGAATGAGCAAACAGCGCAGCATGAAAACCAGCAACCTCTTACCCAATGCAATGAAGGAAAAAGCCGGGTAGAATTGAGCTCCGAGAAAGCCATGCAAGTGTAAGGTAACCTCTGAAAAATGCTCCTAGATGCTCCTGGTAATGCATAGATGAATCACAGTGCTTACAACTTTCAGGATTCAGAATATGGATATGTTTGACAATGAGACGGTCCCGCCTCTACAGATGTGGGATTTCTGGAAACCGCTGCGCTGGTGGTCTCTGTGCGCTCAATGCCATCCATGCCTTCTGAATGCTCGCACATCTTCTGCCGGAGAGTCTGGTTGTCAATGCCTACCATGAAGCTCCCGCCCGAAAAAAAAAAAAACAACTGAAACTGTCCGCGCGCCAAAAGCAAATTGCGCAACGGCTATATATATATATATATGTATGAACACGGTTGGCTGAGCCAGGCCAAGCTTCTGCCCCAGCATGGTGACACCCTGAACAACCCTTCCCCACCAACGGGTAGTCAATGTTCCTAGCAGATCTAGCACTTTGGAAGAGGCAACTGTGTCGAGCACTTTTTTGAAACACTTTTCTAGGGACAAGGAACTAGCGTACTAGGAGGCTCGTTTTTTAGAAGTAAGAACATAGCATGTGCAATACTTTCCGGTTTCCTAGGGCCACTGCACTACTGTGATCTATTTGTCAAATCCAGACAGCCCAGTGGGAAGGAATGGGCTGCTCAAAAGTCAAGGAACCAAAGAGGATACCAGCTTGTAAAACACGTGCTGCTCATGCACCTACTTTGGTTCAGGTTTGAGTTATAAGTCGTTATAATTTTAGTTATACAAAAAGTTATGAAAAGTTATCAAGTGAAGCAAATATCAACTATTTTGTCACATTTTTATAATTTAGAAAAATTGAAAAAAACACTTGTTCTTATTGTATCGAAAACAATATTTTTTCTAATTATAGCGGTTGAGCCGCTTCGAAGTTGTTTTTTTTGAAAAATGCGCGGTTTTCACCGCTTCCATGGCTGAGGGAATGTGCAACTGGTTTTTAAACAGAACAGGCCACTGTGGGAGCGCGCCTTTTTAGGTGCTTTATGCACCTGCAATGGGTTAGTTTGCTCTTTGCAATCTCACCTTTGCAGTTTCTTTTCTTTTTACAAAGACAAAAAAAAGAAACCAAAAAACAAAAAAAACAAGAAACAAAAAAAAACAGACCCAACAAACTGCATCTGACCCCCTCCCCTTGGGGTGTGCAACCTTGTTTTTTTTTGTTGTTTTTTTTTGTCTTTTTGGTTTCTTGGTGTTTTGCTTTTTCTTGGTTCGTTGTTATTTTGAGGGACTGGCAAAAAAAGTGGCAGGATCTAACTCTTTGCCACTTTTCCCCCCTTAGGCATTGCAAATTTGTTTGTGGTTGTTTCTGCTTGCTTTAGGTCTCTGGTTCCATTAGAAACCATGTAAAAACCAAGGAAAAACAGGTATCCTTGGGGGAAGGTTAGGGGCTTGGGGCATGGATTAAGCAATTTTGTTTTTGACTTATTTTCGAAAACATGCCAGAAAACTATGAAAAAACAAAGGCAGCCAATGAGTACGTTTTTTGATATTGACATTGCTGACTATAAACCCCAGTTTCCCCTAGTACATCCCAATATAATCCACCCATATGGGAATGTCTCAAAATGAGGCGAGCCCCTTTTTTTTTTAAAAAAAGTAGCGTTTTTGGTGTCAAAAAGGGCGCGCCTCATTTTGAGACGTCCCCATATACCACAAAGGTCTTTACAGGCTTGGGTGAGGGACTGAGGGATTGGATTAGATTAGGTTGGATTAGATTAGATTAGATAGGTTGGATTGGCTTGGCTTGATTTGGATTGGATTGGATTGGGTTGGATTGGATTAGATTAGATAGATTGGATTGGCTTGGCTTGGTTTGGATTGGATTGGGTTGGGTTGGATTGGACTGGATTAGATTAGATAGATTGGACTTGACTGGATTGGATTGGATTAGATTAGATAGATTGGATTTGAGTGGGTTGGATTAGATTGGGTTGGATTGGATTAGATTAGATTAGATTGGATTGGATTTGGTTTTGTCGGATTGGAATTAGATTGGATTGGATGGGATTGGAATTAGATTTGATTTGATTAGATTAGATTGGATTAGATTAGCTTAGATTAGTTTAGATTAGGTTGGATTGGATTGGATTTGATTGGATTAGATTGTTGGATTGGATTGGATTGGATTGGGTTGGATTGGATTGGATTGGATCAGATTAGATTAGATTAGATTGGATTAGGGAGTGTACCAGTATACCACCAGTTTGCCACCAGTATACCACCAGTATACCACCAGTATACCACCAGTATACCACCAGTATACCACCCGTATACCACCAGTATACCCTCAGTATACCTCAGTATACCACCAGTATACCACCAGTATACCACCAGTATACCACCAGTGGTATACGGTCAGTATACCATGGTATACGGTATTATACCCTAGTATACCGTAGTATCCCCAAGTAAACCCCAGTTTCCCCTAGTATATCTCAATATATCCCACCCATATACCACAGAGGCCTTTACAGCAAATCAATAAGATTGGATTGGATTGGAATTAGATTAGATTAGATTAAATTAGATTAGATTGGGTTGGATTGGGTTGGATTGAAATTACATTAGATAAGGTTAGATTAGAGTAGGTTAGATTGGATTGGATTGGGTTGGATTGGAATTAGATTAGATTAGATTAGATAGATTGGATTGGAATGGATTGGGATGGGTTGGGTTGGATTGGACTGGATTGGATTAAAATTAGATTAGGTTAGATTGGATTGGATTGGGTTGGATTGGATTGGATTAAAATTAGATTAGGTTAGATTGGATTGGATTGGGTTGGATTGGAATTAGATTAGATTAGATTTCATTAGATTAGATTGGATTGGATTGGCTTGGATTAGATTAGATTGGATTAGATTAGATTAGGTAGATTGGATTTGACTGGATTGGATTGGATTGAATTGGATAGGATTGGATTGGATTAGATTTGATTTGGCTAGATTAGATAGATTGGATTGGATTGGATTGGATTGGACATGATTGGATTGGATTGGACTGGATTGGATTGGACTTGTTTGGGTTTGATTGGATTGGATTGGATTATATAGATGAGATATATCTGGATTGGATTGGATTGGATTGAATTGGATTAGATTAGAGTAGATTAGATACATATATCAATGAACAGTAATCCAGGTTTCCACGAATGCTGCTTTTTCAAAGGAAGATTGTGTTGCCATAAAGGACAATGCTCTGTTGTAAGGAGCGAAAAAACATTCTGAAAGAATCTCACATTTCAAAACATATTGCACTTTTGAAAGGGATGCTCTATGTCAAAAATACTGCATATTGTGCAGCAATATTGGCTTTTCTAAAAGGGATACTGCTCCTTTGAAAGGAAGGTTAGACATGTGGAAATAACAAGATTTCCTTTGAAAGGGGCCCCAAAGGTGAAAGAGGTCCTGGCCAAGAATGTTCCTTGTGCGCGCGAAGCCCCCAAGATTAATTCCGACCGAGTTTTTCATACAAAGGCAAAAACTCGGTCGAAATTAATCTTGGAGGCTTCTAGGCCAGGAGCCCTTTCACCTTGAGGACCCCTTTCAAAGGAAATTTTGTTAAATGCACACTGTACTCCTCCAAAGGGCATGGTGTATCTTTTAAAGGAACATTTGATATTTCATAGGGATATTGTTCTGCAAAAACACACTGCGTTGCTCAAAAAGAAAAGAAAGATTGCACTTATGAAGAAGGGTATGCTGCATTTCTGTTTTGAATACTGCATGCATTTGTTGGCCGGTATGGGTATGTTGATGATTTTGTAATTACGTTGAAGACATCTAGGATATCCTGCAAAAATTGAGTTTTGTCAAAGGGACTCTGCAGCATTTAGCCAAGGTAAAGTGAACACCTGGACACTTCTTCAAGCAATACATCCTCTCTAGTGGACATGAACACATCTTCATTCACAGTTTGGGTTTTAACACGTGATTAATTATAGTGTTTGACATGCTGAAAACGGCTGTTCCAACAAAAACAGCTTTTAGCGGTTTGAAAACCGCTCCATTTGGCATTTTTTTGAGCAGTTGAAAACGCTTCAAACAGCAAACACTCAAAATCATCAAAAAGATCAAAATTTGATCACTTTTAAAAACACTTTTTTATAGCAAAAAAAAATACAAAAAATTAGCTAAGAAGTTATGACTTAGTAACTGGGATATAACCCTAGGTTATAATCGAGTTATAACTTAAAACCCGAACCAAAGTAGGCGTTTCTCTTTTCCGTTTGCGCTTACATGCGTAAATGTTTTTTCCACGGGTTGCACTAAAAATCATAAAAAGGTGGGGGCCCGAGGCCCTCTACATCAAATCTCTTTATGATAAGGTATCTTGAAACCCTCAAAGCAGATCCCATGGACTTTCATTTTAGAAACCCCAATTCGATTTCTCCAATCATGCGCCTCCAAGAAACCAAAAGCTTATTGCATGCAGCAACAGCAACCAAAGCAGAACCCTAAAGTCTACAGGCGATTGGGTTCGTGCGAGGATGAAAACCGTTGAAACTTTATGTGTTTGTTTGGGTTTTGTTCCTGTTCGTTGCTGGCCAAAGTGTTGTATCATATTTGCATACTGCTTTTCCCACATGAAATGTCCAAGGCTTTGGATTTTGAGCTTCTTGATTCTTGCAGAGATGGTTTTTTCTAGGCTTCGTCTGGCCCAACACTTCTAGATTTGTCAGACGTTGTAAAACGCACCAGCTGACGAAAGATGATGTTAGACCCTTTTTTCCCCTCCAAACACCTGGAGATGGAAGCAGGAGAAAACATGGCTAAGTTGGGTCATGGCTGGCCGCCAGTCAGCCCCTTCGGGTCTACTTTGGAGTTGCCCCAAGGTGAAAAAATCCGCCGGCAGGAAACCAAGGCATGAGATACAAGCATCAGTAGCTACGGGGACAGAAATAGATCAGGTTAGTGAAAATATCAGAAAGTTACCAGTAGTACCGCACAAGGCGGTGGCGGAAGTTTCAAAAACAGGAAACCTACAGGAGAGATTGGTTGTTGTGAATCACGGATGGCAGAGCGAATCCACTGATGGACCGAAAGGTGGTTGGAGCTGTGTTTTTTGGAGTGGCCGCAATGGTTGCAATGGTCACCTGGTCGGTCACCTCACCCACAACTGCTGGATGTAGTGTGGTGTAGTGCAGCTGTAGCTGTAGTTAGTTGTAGTGTAGTGGAGTTGTAGTTGTGGTGAAGTGTAGTTAGTGTAGTGTAGTTGCAGTTGCAT